TTTTTTTTTTTTCATTTTCGTTTAATGTTTTATCAGGACTTTTTTTTCTGCGTGTGCAGTCCCCCAGACATAGCAGTAGTGCTCAGGCTATTTACCATATTCATACACTGCAAGTCATGCTCTCATAAATAAACCTCCTCATAGAAGGTATACATGTAGAAGGGTATTGCCACTTCAAATGAAATTATTGATGGTTGACACTATTTGTCTTTCGCTGGATTTATAATTTTATTATAATTTCATCCCATATTTGTCCAAATTCTTCATTCCTAATATTTACTGCACAAAAATATAATTTTCTGGAAATGTGTTTTAGAAATAGTTTTTGAAATAAGTTTCATGTTTTTTAACCTAACCAAGTTCCTCGCCATCTCTGATTTTAAGGTGCTAAATAAGACTTTATTAACTCACTATTTGTTTTCACTTTCTTTGTTTTCTGGAGTATTTTATACCAATTACAAGCATGTAGTGGACTATGATTGTTCAGTAGTTTGTATTCTGTGGTGTTTTTTCTGTTTCAATATTTAATGCCTAGATATTGCTAGGAACACGTAAAAAAAATCTAAAAGAAATTCAACCTTTGACTTGGTAGAAATGCCATTATCCAGTTTGGATTTTCTAGTGGTGAAGTAAAAATTCAAACTTGGGTATTGTCATAGTGATGTATGGTGCCTGTTTGTGTACTGACAATTAAGATTGTGCGCTAAATTAACATCTCATGTTTATTTTAATTTCTAATTTTTAAAATCTTGTGTGTAAGTTGTAAATGTTTGTGAAAGATTATTAATCGTATTTCACTAATTTGTATATATCTGTACTATATTTATCATCTACCAAGAAGATTATAATTGGATTTTTTTTTTAAAGGGTTGGTTAATTGGAATAAGTATGGGACAGTATTAACTTTTGTGAGTTAAGGAAAATAACCGAATATTTGAGTACAATGCAGAGGAAATGCTGCATGAGAGACATGTTATTTTATATTAAAGTTTATCAGTAGAGCCTTGTTAGAGCCTGAACGTGATTCCTGAACACTGCTATGCCATGAATTTCCCATAAAAACACATACAATGACACCTTGGGGTGAGAAATAATTGTTCAGAATCAACCTAGATCCTGACACAATGTGGTAGTGAATTTGGTGCTCATTGTGACGGGATACAAATTTCATGCATGTGTAACACGTTGTCAGTATAGAAAAAAAATAAAATCCTGGCATTTCTGTCAAAATTGAATTTCATTTGATAAAGAGAAATTTACATTTCTTTGGTTCTATGTTGTAAAATAAAATAAACATTTGTGGGTGGATTTACTACAGCTATAGGAAAACTGTTTTATCAAATTACAACTGTATAAGTAGTTGCTAAATTCATGATTGGATGAGTTTTGACAATACTTTGGAATCAGGGCACTGACAAGGCCACACTGAAACAAATATATTTTTTAATTTTCAGCACTTTTTATTTTATGTTGAATAAATATCCATGTTTACGATATTGCTTGTTAAGAAATTAATGGTAGCACATGGGTGTTTGTTCGAAAATGAGTTATAGAGTTCATGTTTTTTCTAAATTGCATTGTCGGGCAATGTCTTTTACAATTTAAAACACATCTTTAGGGACTAAAAAACAGTAACATCTATTTAGATATTTTGATATTTTATCCAGAAAAAATAAATTAAAAAAATTGATGCTTAGATATTGCCCATCGCTATCTCTTCTACAACACAAAAATGCATTGTTTTATAATTAACGTAAACTAATGAGACTGGTTGTTGGAGAATGTTTGGGTATTATCAAAAATAATGAAACCTGATTGATCGATTGGACCGTTATTGCAAGAAACAGTTTCAACTACTGTCTTATACAATAACATTTGCTATATACATATATATGTACATTATCTATGGAGCCAGGTTTCACTATTTGCTCTTACTAAACTTTTAACAACAGTTCACAGGTGTCGGGTATAACTGATATCATTGTCTACATAGCCGCTTCCTTCATTGCACATGTTAATCAAATTTTTTGTTTTCTTTTAATCTAAAAAAAAAATAAAAAAAATAACACAGCTGAGGAAGATCTTAAGCGAAAATTTCGCCTGCCGAGAACAACCCACATCGGGGGAGACAAAGAAATGCTTTCCCTTGAAGAGATTATAAACCGACTTGAGGTAAGGTAACTTAGGGAGAGAAGTTTTGGTAGGATATGTAGACAGTTTATGTTGGCCATTCTATTAAACAATTGTAATACATGTATCTCGCTTTGACAGCAGTCTCATTTTCTCTCTTTCTATGTATTCTACTGTTAAAAAGTGTCGGGGAGTTTCTTTGGTAATGAATTCCATTACTAAAAAGGAAATTTGGTTAAAGTGACATAAAATAAAAGTGAAATGGATAATGTCATTGGTAGGTACACTTGAATCGAAAATCTATCATTGAGATATAAAATTTGTACAACTGTCATTACAAAATAGGTACCTTGTATTGCTTTCTTCAGTAATTTTTGGTCTGTTTTGCCCAGACTGTGTACTGTCGCCATATTGGTCTGGAATACATGTTCATCAACAACCTGGAACAGACGGACTGGATCAAGAGCAAGTTTGAGAGACCAGGAATCATGGAATTTACAAATGAAGAAAAACGTCTCATAATGGCCCGTCTCATTCGCTCAACAAGGTAAATTTAATATCCGTAGAATATTTCAGAATACAGAAGTCATACAATGTTATATTCAGATATGCAATAGTGGTTTATAAGTTCTTAAGGCCGAGGTCACTGTTACTTTAATTCTATCAGAAAGCAGTTGCCCTTTTTGATTCCCCAGTGTTCGTTTTGGTGGTAGATGGTGTTTAATGGATATCCCATCTGAATAAAGCAATATATAGAGGATCTGACACGAGTGTTCATGTAATAATGAATTTATTGAACGAGTTTATTCATTTCATATGAAATCAATAAACGAGTTTAATAAATTCAATATTACATGAACATGAGTGTTAGATTCTATTTATTATATAATTCGAGAAACACTCTTTTTCTTGGTGCGTCTCCTCTATATAAATTGTACCGATGGCTGACGAAAGGACCCATTACATGCATTTTGTTTCGAGCTCGCTGCGCCGCAAAAAATAGTTTCAGAAAACCCGAGAACCTTTTCAATGAACAAAAAATCATTTAAGTTTTCTTCATCAACCAATGTTTTAATAATTATCATAACAACATTAATAATAATTTTTTATACGAAAACCATTCAACGAATTGGCGAAAATAGCAGTGACACTGACGTCACATATTTGGCACAACGGCGCGTGCACTGTCAAGGTAAAAGTCATCACAATACACATCGAAGTCTGCACTTTTAAACGTTTACAGGGACTGGAATGATTGTCACTCTCTATAACACAAACGCATTTCTTTGGAGAGGGTTGTTGGTGAATGTGAACTTCAATGTTTCCGCCAGAAAATATACTTAGGAATCCGCAACGAAACTGGAACACTGATGAAGTTGGTCGGTTACACGTGTTCGCCATTGATTGTGTGTATGTCGGAGAAGTTCAAGTGGAATTTGAACATGCAGGTGTTGAATTTGTGTGAAGCTAACACTCGTGTTTATATAATATTGAATTTATTAAACGCGTTTGTTAATTTTTTCTCCCAGTGCCCCTGCCTCTGCTATACATGCAAACAGTAACTCGGTCAGCCATTTTGTTTACAAACGTAGAAGTTGTAGCCTTTTTTGACCTTTTTCTATGGCCGAGACATATGTGGCTAAAACTTTTGTTCTATTGGTATGATTCTGTTCTTACTTTGTGGTAATAGGTAGTTAGTGGATAATCTACATGGTTAAGAGGGACATACTCTGTGCATGGGACAATCATAATGGCGGACATGACTTCTGATTGGCCGAAACCTTTTTGGCTATAACAACTTATTCCCAAATGCCACTAAATCAATACTGAAATATCTGTCATTGGTTTACTACATTTAATATCTTGATACAAAAAGATGTTGCATTAATATCTCGGAAATGTATAAAACTTGTATACAAATATGACCTCTGTTTACAGGTTTGAGGACTTCCTGGCTAAGAAGTGGTCGTCAGAAAAGAGGTTTGGGCTGGAGGGCTGTGAGGTCCTCATCCCTGCCCTCAAAGTCATTGTGGACTCATGCACAGAGTGGGGCGTTGACACTTTCCACGTCGGCATGCCCCACAGGTAGGTTGTCTTTGTCATGGTTACAAAAAAACAAAAAAAGTGTTTGTATACCAAAAATTAATGAGGGAAAATAGGATACACTGACTAGTAGTAAGATTATGATGATATACTGTATAAGATTATGATGACAAACTGTATAAGATTATGATGACATACTGTGTAAGATTATGATGATATACTGTATAAGATAATGATGACATACTGTATAAGATTATGATGATATACTTTATAAGATAATGATGACATACTGTATAAGATTATGATGACATACTATCAGATTATGATGACATACTGTGTAAGATTATGATGACATACTGTATAAGATTATGATGACATACTATCAGATTATGATGACATACTGTGTAAGATTATGATGATATACTGTATAAGAAAATGATGACATACTGTATAAGATTATGATGATATGCTGTATAAGATTATGATGACAAACTGTATAATATTATGATGACATACTGCATAAGATAATGATGACATACTGTATAAGATAATGATGACATACTGTATTAGATTATGATGACATACTATAAGATTATGATGCCATGCTGTATAAGAAAATGATGAGATACTGTATAAGACTATGATGACATACCGTATAAGATAATGATGCCATACTGTATAAGATTGTGATGACAAACTGTATAATATTATGATGACATACTTTACAAGATTATGATGACAAACTGTGTAAGATTATGATGATATACTTTATAAGATAATGATGCCATACTGTATAAGATTATGATAACATACTGTATAAGACTATGATGACATACCGTATAAGATAATGATGATCTATTGTATAAGATTATGAAGACATACTGTATAAGAAAATGATGAGATACTGTATAAGACTATGATGACATACCGTATAAGATAATGATGATCTATTGTATAAGATTATGAAGACATACTGTATAAGAAAATGATGAGATACTGTATAAGATTATGATGCCATACTGTATAAGATTGTGATGACAAACTGTATAATATTATGATGACATACTTTACAAGATTATGATGACAAACTGTGTAAGATTATGATGACGAACTGTATAAGATTATGAAGACATACTGTATAAGACTATGATGACATACCGTATAAGATAATGATGAGATACTGTATAAGACTATGATGACATACCGTATAAGATAATGATGCCATACTGTATAAGATTATGATAACATACTGTATAAGACTATGATGACATACCGTATAAGATAATGATGCCATACTGTATAAGATTGTGATGACAAACTGTATAAGATTATGAAGACATACTGTATAAGACTATGATGACATACCGTATAAGATAATGATGACATTCTTATAAGATTATGATGCCATGCTGTATAAGAAAATGATGACATACTGTATAAGATTATGATGACATACTGTGTAAGATAATGATGACATACTTATAAGATTATGATGACATACTGTATAAGATTATGATGACATACTGTGTAAGATTATGATGACATACTGTATAAGATAATGATGACATACTGTATAAGATTATGATGACATACTGTATAAGATTATGATGACATACTGTTTAAGATTATGATGACATACTTTATAAGATTATGATGACAAACTGTATAAGATTATGATGACAAACTGTTTAAAATTATGATGACATACTGTATAAGATTATGATGACATACTGTATACGATTATGATGACATAATGTATACTGAGAAATCTTTGCTGCAATTTACTTTTCGCTTTTTTCGCCCATCGGAATAGTCAACAGCATACTTTATGTAGTAATTAAATCTGAAAGGCAAAAATAACACTGGGCTAAGTTGGATTTACAAGCGAAGGGAATGCGAAAATTTCCCAGTAAACAGTAGTTCTCTGTGTATGAAAGGTTTGAGACAGTTGGAATGTTTTTCAGCATTTCATCCTTTCAACAACAAAAATATGTATGATGGATAAATTACATTTCCCAGTGATTCTTGTAGGATTTTTCAAGGCGAGTCCTGAACATCATTTTCAAAATGTTGAGTTTCATCACTGAGAGATATTGTGGATTTTCAAAGGGTTAAAAAAGAAGACCATGAGCCAGGACTCGGCTATCTGTATCTCAAATATCACTGTTACCTAACTTTACTGTCAAGCTGATCATAGTTCTGATTTATTTAAAGGGGACGACTGAATGTATTGGCAAACTTGTGTCGTATGCCCTTGGAAAAGATCTTCTGTCAGTTTGACTCCAAACTGGAGGCAGCTGATGAGGGGTCTGGGGACGTCAAGTACCATCTGGGGATGTCCCACGAACGCCTCAACAGAGTCACAAACAAGAACATCAAGATCGCTGTAGTTGCCAACCCATCCCACTTGGAGGCTGTTGACCCAGTAGTCCAGGGCAAGACTAAGGCGGAACAGTATTACCGTGGCGATACCGAAGGCAAAAGTGTAAGATGGCTCCACTGTAGAATAGAACGGGTGTTGAATGATTAAGTACATTTATGGATGTTATAAACATTGTAGTACAGGTCAAATAAACATAATAATGGCTTCTTCGAGATAATAAATGATTTTAAAAATTGCAAAATATAAATACACTGGACAAGTTTTCTTCTTGGCAAACTTGGCTATCCAGAAAGACGCTTATTTCCTGGAATATTTAGAAGAAACTAATTTATAAAAATTAGTAATTTATAAATAATTCCATCGTTTACTATAATTTGCAAAAAAAATGACTTTCTGAGTGGGCTTTCAGCAACATGGTTGTGAGAATTTGAACTTGCAACAAATGCAATATCCGTCATATGTCTCTTTGAATCATCATCTGAAACATTTTTTTGCAAGATTTTCAAATTCACTAAGAGCTCACCTTGGAATTGCAGAAATTTATTATTTAATATATTTGATAACAAGAATTGACCAGATTCCCCACAAATGAAATGCCTGTCTACAGTGTATACTAACGATCGTTCTTACTGCTGGACAGGTGATGAGCGTCTTGTTGCATGGTGATGCTGCATTTGCTGGACAGGGTGTTGTTTACGAGACGTTCCACTTGAGTGACTTGCCAGCCTACACTACTCATGGCACCATCCATGTGGTGGTGAACAATCAGGTATGCTTCTTCTGATTGGTCACGATTGACTCATGTCTGCTGTGATTGGTCAGTTCAGTCTTATCTGATTAGTTGTAAGTTTTTCTCAGGTTCATGACTGGCAAAATTACAAAAATACTTCAGCACTTGTTATTTCATAGACAATTAAGTAATTCAGTGATTTATAAATGTTTTTGCTGTAAACTGTTGATTTCAATGGTGAGGATGGTCAGAATTATTAAATAATATGTATTTGCTCTCTGATATATGATTTTGATGAATTGACATATGATTAATATAATTGATTATGAGAAAATTGTAATACTGGGATAATTTTGTGTGGAAGATGTGCTATTTGTCCACTAAATCTGTAGCTAGATGGCATAACAATCCACTAGGGGCCGTGGTGGCCAGATGGTTAAGGCGTCTGAAGTTCTGCTACCACTAGCCATCCACCACTGGGTCGCGGGTTCGAGGCCTACGTGGGGCAGTCGCCAGGTACTGGCCGTAGGTCGATGGTTTTTCTCCGGGAACTCTGGTTTTCTTTCACCATAAAAACCTGGCACGTCCTTAAATGACCATAGCTGTTAGTAGGACATAAACCCAAAACAACCCAAAAGAACAATCCTATTCATTACAATCATTAACAGTTATGCTTGATTAATTACAGATTGGTTTTACCACTGACCCACGTATGGCGCGGTCGTCGCCCTACTGTACTGACGTTGCTCGTGTGGTGAATGCACCGATCTTCCATGTCAACGCTGACTACCCGGAGGAGGTGGTGTATGTGTGCAAGGTTGCAGCAGAGTGGAGGGCAAAGTTTGGCAAGGACGTCGTTATAGATCTGGTATAAAATATTCACTCTCAGACCTCCACAATCTACCTTTACTGATAGGTTGTTATATTGATGTCCATCAATTTGGTACTAACCAGTCTCAATAATCGAATCATAGAACATACCTTCATGTGTTCTCAATCACGTAAGAAATATTCAAAAATTGAACAAACATTTATTTCAGAATTTAAGATGGTAGAGTGCTATTCAGGGAACATGATATTGTTCCCTGAATATTGATATAAAAAAATGGATTTTTTTTTTCAGTTTGAAGTTAAACAATTTCATCGTTATATAGCCTGATTTGAACAGCCACATACATGTATGTTATGAATTGTTTTGAAAAACTTGTTTCGAGTCTTTCCTGTATATGATCCTTACATGGGTGTCTCTAGGTCAATATTCTTTACCTGTATGCTTGTAAATATGTTATGGTGAGGAAAGTATACTGTACCGGCCCGTGTATGTTGATTACAGGTATGCTATCGTCGCTTTGGACACAATGAAACAGATGAACCCATGTTTACTCAGCCTCTCATGTACAAGAAAATCAACAAACAGCCCACGGTCCTGTCCCAGTATGCTGAAAAGCTCATCAAGGAAAACGTTGTTAAACAATATGAGTATGAGGTATGTAGTTGTTAAGTTTGTTCGGAAATAAAGAAATAGGAAAGCTTGGGCTGTAATTTCTGTTGACGAATAACAAAACAGAATTCTTCTCTAACAGACGTTTGTATTCAGGATCTGTGTACAAATGCCAAAATCTGTAACTACACGTTATAAACTGGGTTTTGTGGCATGATTATAGCTTTCAGACATTATTTCGGAGAAGAAAACTATACCTTGCAGGACTTTTATGGAAAATAATAAAGATGAAATAAACAAAATATACAGTATACCCAAATGGAAGTAAAGGGAAGGGTTATCGTGTATAGAAAAAGCATAGTGCAGTGGGAAAGGGATGCCTGAATGGTTTTGCTTTGATAATTCGATAATATTGAAGGGAAAAAATCTGGAAAATTTCTTATGTTTTTACTTTTTTTTCTTGGTTAACATCAACCAATTCCTTTTAAAATTTTGAACTTAACTGGGTTGGTTGTTGTTTGCATACTCAGTTGATTACAATTGGGGTCCATTAAATGTATACATGGTAGGTGATTTAGGGTCTGGTATGTCTTTGAATGCAAAGTGTAGTGGAATGGAACTGCCTTGTTTGCTATAAGCTAGTGACAGGGTAGCTCAGTTGGTAGCATGTTCGTGCAGAGTTTCAAGGTATGGATTTGAATTGCTGTCTGACTGTTTGATATTTAAACCACTACATCAGACCCATGTTGTATTGATGTCAAAACCTTACCTTTATGATGAAGCTTATCATCCCCTGCTCAACGAGTTGGCGGGGAATATAGAAATGGGGTCCGTTCATGCCCCTGGTTAAGGAGAATTGCTGTCATCTATATCTTGCCTACTACTAGTGCTATGTTGATTATGCTTGCATCAATTGTGTATCTAGGGTTGCTTTACTGAATGCATATTGCGGATGCTTACTTAGACCTTTGTTTTACACTTCATGTTTTTAATGACTTTTGCACTGCAAGCTTGGTGGATATCGATGACAGGGTCCTCTTGTTTCTGTCCTTTTAATTGTACACTTTTCCGTTGTTGTAGGACGAGGAAAAGAAATATGACGCTATCTGTGAGACTGCATACATAGAGTCGAAGAAACAGACCGCTGTGAAGAACTCGGATTGGCTCGACTCTCCCTGGGGGGACTTCTTCAGCAACCAGGACCCAATGAAAAACCCAACAACTGGAATCAGCGAAGACACTTTGGCACATATTGGAGGTTTAGTCAGCACTGCGCCTGAAAACTTTGACATTCACGGAGGTGAGACATGGGGATAAGTCTACTTGTCTTGGCTTGTAATATGTGCATGGATTTTAGAAAGACATTTAAGACTTAATTTGAAGTTGAGCAAAATCTAAGCATACTTGATAAGCATACTGCACTCTGAATGGTTTGGGGTTTCTACTCTATGACTTATATAGATGAAATATGACTGGAGTTTTGTTACAACTTGATTAACGTTTTCCCTTTGAACTGTGGGCAAAGGAAGCTATTCCTATGCACTTTAAATATTTATGACAGATATTCCTTCAATTCAAGTTGGTAAAGTACAGTATGTTCTCCTTTCACCACATCCCAGAAATACTTCAACTTTACAGAATACTGCAGTATAAATGTAGTTTTGTCTGGTTACATTTAAATATTTCCATACATTTAAATATAATAATTAATCGAAGGATTTTAAGCATGATAATTCGGCATGGGCCCCAGCAGTATTCATATTTTATTATGCCCCCGCCATAAAATGGGGGGGCATATAGTGTTGTTGCCCATGTCCGTCCTGTCCCGTCCCATCCATGAGCGGGGGCATTAATGTTTTACAGAAATTTTCTAGTGTTTAGTTATTTTGTCAGGAAAATTATATTATAAAGGCATAAAAATCACATGGGGCAGTGCCTAAGAAACTCATATTTTGATATTCTTTACTATGTAACAGGCCTGAAGCGTGTGTTACGCGGGAGAGCCGATATGGTCAAAAGCAGGATGGCAGACTGGGCCTTGGGAGAGGCTTTAGCCTTTGGCTCACTGGTCAAGGAAAGTATCCATGTCCGGCTCAGCGGACAAGATGTGGAGAGAGGCACATTCAGGTGAGGGTTTTTTACCACTTGACTAAACAATTTCCCTCTTTTGGCTCCAATTTCCTTTCTCTATTGATTTCTTCAAATTGAAATGGAACCAAATTTAAGCAGAATCATAATTTAAGTGACTAACTGACATGAACAATTTTGACAGTCTATAATTTTGACATCTGAATTTGAGACCTGCAATCTTCATGAAAAAGGAGTTCTGTATTACATAATTGGCAAAAATTGTTACTTGGTAAATTGGCGCTATATATATATGTGTTAGCTGTAAAAATGAAGATGAAATGTTGATAAGGTCGAGGTATTTGAATGTACTGTATGGATCTACCTGGATAATGCCATACAATGTACAGAGAAGTTGTAATTAGCTCCACTTAACGCTACCAACCCATTACAGCCACCGGCACTGTGTGCTACATCACCAGAACAAGGACAAGGTCACATACGAACCCCTGAACCATCTCTACCCAAACCAGGCGGAGTTCCAAGCCCACAACAGCTCGCTATCCGAGTTCGGTGTCCTTGGTAAGTTAAGTTCACCAACCAAACTAGGCCATATTCAAAGCCCATAACAATTCACTCTGAGAGTTTTCGAGTGCTTGATAAACTCTCCACACCTACCCAGATATGCCAAGTTCAAAAAGCACAACAGTTTGCCAATCAGAGTCTTGTGTCCTCGTTTACTCATTCACCCCTTAAGACACTTTGAACTCCTCCTGTTCAAAGGTTGGAATAGTGCATTATGAAATTTCAGGGGTGAATGAGTTAAATACCAGGTACACTAAACTTTGTTTCTTGGGGACAACGATTAAACAGGGTTGACCTGATGTCCAATTAAACTACCATGGGACAAAAATAGCCTCAGAACTGAAGTTATTAAATCTGTCTCACCAAGTCCTTTTAAAGAATGTGAAATATTCACTGACCTTATTTATGAATTTTACCTTTATAGAAAAGGCTCACATAAGATATGATCAACAGCTGTAAGAATGGTTTGATAGAAACATTTCTAATATGATGAAATTTTGTTTTGCAGGATTTGATCACGGTTATTCCACAGACAAACCAAATGCCCTGATCATCTGGGAGGCTCAGTTCGGAGACTTCCACAACACTGCCCAGTGTATCATTGACCAGTTTATTAGTAGCGGTCAAGCCAAGTGGACACGCCAGAGTGGACTGGTCATGCTGCTTCCTCACGGCTATGATGGCATGGTCAGTATATTGAAACAGAAAGTTTGTATGTGTAGATATTGAGGTCTTCGTAAAACTCCATTTCTGGAAAACTCACAAAAAGTACAGGATCAGGAAAACATCTTAAGAATTTGGTTGTGATTAGATCTGTTTCTGTTATGGCCTCTTGTTTAATATCAGCCTTTGATTTTGTTAATGTTATGTTTGTCTATCATCTCTAGGGTCCAGAACACTCGAGTGGCAGGCTGGAACGGTTCCTTCAGATGTCTAGTGACGACTCGGATCACTTCCCTGTAAGTCTGACCAATGCAAAGCATTTCATTACATTCATTGACCATAAAAAGACCGTTCACTGACCACTTCAGGATAGGTCACTAACCTTACAATGACAGTTCTCTGACTACTCCAATAGTTTTTTGACCACTCCAAAAAATTCACTGACCACTTCAACAGTCCATCGATCATTCCATGATAATATACTGACCACTTCGGGGTATTGTACCAACCAATCCACGACAAGGAACTGACCACTTCAACACATTCCTGGAATATTTGGTGACAATTCTCTTACCATTCTATGTTGATGCACTGATTATGTCAAAGCAAGGCACTGGTCAATCAATGACAAGGAATTGACCACTTCAAGACAACCCCAGGTCAATCCATGACAATTCTCTGACCACTTCCAGACCATACACCAAAGACCTCTTGACAAGGAATTGACCACTTCAAGACAACCCGAGGTCAATCCATGACAATTCTCTGACCACTTCCAGACAATACACCAAATACCTCATGACAAGGAATTGACCACTTCAAGCCAATCCCAGGTCAATCCATGCCAATTCTCTGACCACTTCCAGACAATACACCAAATACCTCATGACAAGGAATTGACCACTTCAAGCCAATCCCAGGTCAATCCATGCCAATTCTCTGACCACTTCCAGACAATACACCAAATACCTCATGACAAGGAATTGACCACTTCAAGACAATCCCAGATCAATCCATGACAATTCTCTGACCACTTCAGACCATACACCAAAGACCTCTTGACAAGGAATTGCCCACTTCAAGACAACCCGAGGTCAATCCATGACAATTCTCTGACAACTTCCAGACAATACACCAAAGACCTCATGACAATGAATTGACCACTTCACGACAATCCCAGGTCAATCCATGACAATTCTCAGACCACTTCCAGACCATACACCAAAGACCTCATGACAAGTAATTGACCACTTCAAGACAATCCCAGGTCAATACATGACAATTCTCTGACCACTTCCAGACCACACACCAAAGACCTCATGACAAGGAATTGACCACTTCAAGACAACGCCAGGTCAATCCATGACAATTCTCTGACCACGTCCAGACAATACACCAAAGACCTCATGACAAGGAATTGACCCCTTCAAGACAATCCCAGGTCAATCCATGACAATTCTCAGACCACTTCCAGACCATACACCAAAGACCTAATGACAAGGAATTGACCACTTCAAGACAACGCCAGGTCAATCCATGACAATTCTCTGGCCACTTCCAGACCATACACCAAAGACCTCTTGACAAGGAATTGACCACTTCACGACAATCCCAGGACAATCCATGACAATTCTCTGACCACTTCCATACCATACACCAAAGACCTCTTGACAAGGACTTGACCACTTCAAGACAACCCGAGGTCAATCCATAACAATTCTCTGACCACTTCCAGACAATACACCAAAGACCTCATGACAAGGAATTGACCCCTTCAAGACAATCCCAGGTCAATCCATGACAATTCTCTGACCCCTTCCAGACAATACACCAAAGACCTCATGACAAGGAATTGACCACTTCTTGACAAGACACTGATAATTCCCTGACAATACAATGGCCGTACCATTACAAGGCTCTGACCACTCCCCGACAGTTGACCAACTCCTTATGACCTACCACACAACATTTTGATTGATTGTATAACTGATGTTATATGAAATGAAGACACCTTTTTGTCCTTCCTTAATAATTAACCTGGTAAATGTTTTCGCTGGTCAACCCATAACATTCCCAGTCTCACCGACTCTTCTACGTACATTGTGATAAATATTTTATTCAAAATTTCACGAATTGTGATACTGAATTACTTAAAGCAACTATCTTGATTTAAAGGGTAAGACATTTTATAATTATCTGTCAAAAATGGTGTCCCATTTGAATGACCTCGATTGTTTTTTATACAGGTGGAAAACGAGAACTTTGAGATGCAGCAGTTGTACGATATCAACTGGTTTGTTTGTATGCTGTCCACGCCCGCCAACATGTTCCATGTTCTGCGTCGACAGATTGCTCTCCCTTTCAGGAAACCTGTAAGTTGAGATCCTTTTAATATGTACTTTGTAAAATAGGATAAATTGTGCTTAATTCAATTAATTTGCCATTACATGTACTGCAGAAGTGGATGGCTAAAGCTAATCAAACGTTTTCATTGTTTTGAATTTCTAAGCATTGTTTAATTGCTATTGTGCATTGATACATTCTTCAATATTTCTTATCTTGATATTATAGCTGGTGATCATGACACCCAAGAATCTGCTGCGTTTGCCTGAGGCGCGATCAAGCTTCGACGACATGTTGGAGGGTACGAGGTTCCAACGTGCCATACCAGAGGCCGGAGCAGCATCAGAGGATCCAAACGGTGTTAAGAAACTGATATTCTGTAGTGGGAAGGTCTACTATGAGCTGGTCAAGGAGAGAGAAATGAAGGGCAACACTGACAAAATCGCCATCGCGAGGATAGAACAGGTGCTTAAAAATCGGTCAACATGTCTTGGTGTATATGTATGTGTGTTAGTCCACTTAAATACAACAGATGGAACACACACATAATATGATGTACTAGTTATATAATGTGTTCATTGGATGTGTACAGCTCAATAAATGAGTGCTATCTGCAACATCAGTGACATTAAATTAAAAAAAATACTTCGCTCAGAGATTTCTTTAAGTGTAGCTTCAGCAATATTCTATTTGAGTTTCCGTAATAAAAGAAACAGATAATCAGAAAAAGAAATTATTTTTAATGAAAGGCATATTCTACCAGTGTTGAGCAACTATTTATTTATTGATTTGTGTCTAGATCTCACCATTCCCGTATGACCTCGTGAGAAAGGAGATAGAGAAATACTCGAGGGCCAAAATCGTGTTTGTCCAGGAGGAACCGAAGAACATGGGCGCCTGGTGCTACGTACAGCCTCGCATGACCACCGTGCTCAAACGCATCAACACAAACCGTGAAATCAAGTAAGTAATCAAACGTGTCTCATCGTAACTGATGCTCAAATGCATCAACACAAACCGTGAAATCAAGTAAGTCTTCAAACGTGTCTCATCGTAACTATTTCAGAATGAGTTATGATGCTCATACGCATCAACACAAACCGTGAAATCAAGTAAGTCTTCAAAAGTTACTCATCATAACTATTTCAGAATAAGTTACCATGAAGGTTTGGGTGGCTATTATATATATATGCAAGACCACACACTTGTGATTTTCTAACAAATCAGAAAGCACAAGTTTATTCTGCGCAATAAACGAGTGCTTTCTGATTCGTTAGAAAAGCACATCACATATTATCACATACCTTCCGTATTTGGTAGAGATCGATACAAAGATTTTATGAACTTTGATAATTTTTGCAAATACCAGGAACTTTTCAGTTCGCTATGACAAGGGGATTCCCATAAAAAGTAGATCCTGCTAGTAGGTAAATACAACATTCCGTATTGCACATGTGCAATACAGAACGTTGTATTTCATGGTCTGAAATTTGCTTGTATTACTATAACAAGGTTCAACAGGTATGTGATAAATATGTATTCTTGTCCCTGATTTAAATTAATTTAACAATGTCAAAGATTTGTTCGGAAGTTTTTCACGTAGATCTGTCTTTTGCAGATATGTTGGACGGGATCCGTCGGCTGCCACAGCTGCAGGCAACAAGCAACTTCACATGCAGGAGCTCTCCAAGTTCCTCAATGATGCAACGCACCTTTAAGCATGTGACCTGGCCACCAAAGGAACACAATTTTAAACCAGACTTTATTTAAAAAAAAGAGATAGAAAGGAAGTCAACATTTTAATATAATATCAGGAGAAATGAGTTGCAGAAAGTTTTCGTATTATTAATGCTACGACAGATTTCTCTCGAAAATGTCAAGCGACGTTGTTTGCGGTTGGTTACTGATAGTATCGTCAGTGATGTCATTGATACTGTAGTCATCATGGCGGTCATTTTTTTAATCTGTTGTGGTAACACTGGAATGCTCGATCTGACTTTTGGTGCATAAATATCTCGGCCAGACACAAGTATACAATGTTTTTCACTTTTTATGAATCAATGCAGTCATTCGCCAGCACATTGTCTCATTTCACAGCACAGCAAATATGCATCACTATGGAAACCGGAAGGTGTACTCTTTGGAATCATTCCTGGTTTCCGTATCTATTTAATTTCAATAGACCTGAGATATTTTGTTATTGAGATTAAAACTGGGAAAAATCTTCGACATTTGACAACAGTTTACACACCATTATTGAAATGATAATAATTTAAAGGGAGACAATCTATAGTAAACACCCCACAAAAATTCTCAAAAATCTCTTTCCTTTCCTCTCTCTTTCTCTCTCTATATCAAACCATTAGAATTAACCTGTATTTCTTAATGTGATCCGTGTAGTGGTTGGTAATCAGACGAAGGTACACCAGAAATGTGATCCGTGTACTGGTTGGTAATCAGACGAAGGTACACCAGAAATGCAATACTCTTTAACTACAAGAACTAAAATGGCTGAAATTTTATCTACTGTTTCATAATTTAACAAACATCTAGTTTAGATTTTAACAAGCTAAATGATTTAAAAAAGAATAATCACATGGTTTCTGGCTGCACCTATTGCCCTCAATCTGGCTTGTGGTTTAAGCTAGGGAATGTTATGATGTGGAATACCTGGAATATTTTTATAGGCATGTACATATATATTATCTGGGTAATAACTAGTTTTAAGCTACAGGCATCTGTTGTAAATTGATTTTAAGAGAGGGCTCAGTTGCTCAAAGTGTGATTAGCTTAATTAAATCTTAAATTACTGTCGTAAGATATGTTAACCTAATTGACGGAAGATATGAAGTTACTATAACTTCTATGTTTTTCCAAAATTTCGTAAGAATTTTCATTTAATTTGATGTATAGTTGAGCTACTGCAGTTTTGAGCTACTGAGATCTGACAATTGTTAATTAAACCCTGTCTGTTTTCTGTTTTGTCCACTAGGTAATCTGAGATTTTTTGACATTTTTGCTATGATCTTAACCAAGAAAATTGTAAATTTGCTTAACTTATCAAATGGCCACAAAAAGGTACTGGCAAAAACGTTTTACTGTTTTTGCTTCAAGTATCATTTGTCTCTGTACAAGAGAATATGTTTGATATTAGATTACCTCCCCTTATTTAAATAAATAACTTTGAGTCTTGAACCATAATCACAGATGATTTTAAAAAGTAAAATTTTACTAAACCTCAAGCATTAGACAAGAGCATGTAAAATTTTACACTTAACTCTTTAAAAAGTAATACATACATTAATAATGATTGATCGTAGGGATGTCCTGTGTCAAACAGAGCTCGAAATATGTTGACCTGAAGTTATCTTCCCTTCCGGTAGCTCTTGATTGGCCTTATATAGTCTCTTGAAAGGACTGATAATAATAGCATTTTTGTATATATATATACCTGGTATGGCATATGTGGGTCTAGGAAACCAGATCTGCAATAATTGTAAAAATATCATCATTTTTATTTATGTACAATGGGATTTAGTTAGTTTGCACACCTAGGTTTCCAAAGCTGCAATTCTGTGCTTATTGTACTGGAACTGAAATGGTTAAGAGAACGGAGATGAGATAGCAGTATCCAGAATTAGAAACCTAAGCTGGTTTGTTGTTTTAGAGTACCATTCCTGATTATATAGTAATATAATGTAGAATTAAATTTAAAAACAATTTCCAAAATCCATATGAACCCTTTCACCCCTATGCAACTTTAGTAGACTCTCCCATGCATTGATCTGGGCGAGTCCATTATGGTCTACAGTGGTGAAAGGGTCTAAAAAATCGAGAAGAATGATTTTGAATATAATGGCTTTAAAACTGGTCACAGGTAATGCAGACCTTTCCTGACAATCAGAAAACCAAATATTCAATGTCTATTGTACATAAGGTTCAAGTCAAAGTGGTTTTAGTAGAAATGGGATAGATACATACCGATACAATGGACTGTTTTGGTCTGCTATTGTCAAACCAAATGTGTTATACCCGGTAATATAATATAGTATTAGGTGACAGGAAATCCGTAGATATACATGAAGGTCTTTACTTTTTTATACCTTTGGAAATTTAAGTGAATTTCTATTGAGCAGTGCCTTTGTATTATATAAAGGTAGATAGACTTTATTCCAATTTTTTTGGTTGGTTCTGTTGGATCTGGTATTAAGATGGGATTCGGTTTTACCAGAACTGGATGCTCTGTTCAGATCGTTTCAACCAGACGTTTGGCAAGCTGTCTGAAATGTTATACAGATATTTTTACTTTAATCAACTTTTCAGTTATCTTGTTGGTTTTACTTTTAAATCTTGTTAGCACATTCTTTTTCTGCATTTGTTTTTTAGTTGTGGAAAATTTTATTGATTTTGTTATCACTATGAATATTCCATTGATTACGATAGTTTATTTTCTTTCTTTGAAATATAATCTCATTGTTTTTTATGATGGGTTTCATGTCATTTTTGAAGTGTACATTTAATTTAACATGGTTTCTTGCAGATTTTTCAAAACAAAACAAACCCTCCAATGAATGATTTCATGAGTAGGATTGGTGTATATTGTAAAATGAAGCAATATTGGTGAAACAATAATATCTAATATTTTTGCCTACTCAAATATTTCTATCCGACAACCCATATTTACACTGTTTGACGACGAAATGATATTAGTGTGCATTTGAAAAAGTCAGTATTAGAGACCGTTCAAACATTGATTAATTGACAATGGTGTTGAAAAATTAAGTTTGATTTTAATTTTTGTTTCACTGGGGGGAAAAAATGAAAATTTACAGCATAAAATATAAAATTGAATTCTGATATCCTTTAAAACCTTGAGGAAAATCTGCAGAAAACCATTTATAATTTCTCCATTTAAAAGAAATGTTATTGTTTGGGTTTTTTTTATGATGGAATTAATTAAATGTTTAGGGTATATTTATTAATGCAAGTATATTACAAAATTGCGGGCTGTTATTCTATATATTTTTGAAAGCAAAATGTGAAAATAATTGACTTTTTTGTTTTTGTGGAAAAAACTGCACACTTCAAATATTAAATACCAATTTTGACGCTGCCATATTGAATTCCCAGATCCAGAAAGCTGAAACTGTTATCAAGGGCCTTGAACATTTCAAATGATGGTGTAAACAATTGTGTATATATCAATTTATTGCGGAAAGTCTTGAATTGATGCATACTCTTTACTGCAAAATGTGAATCACCTATTTGTATTTTTCTGCTGGAATTTAAATTCATAAATCACCATATAACTACATACAATTTGTTTTCATTGGTGTGAAGAAAGTTAGTAATGGTTTGTATTGCAAGGCATATTCTACAAAGTATTATTATAAACATGTTTTCCCTGCGGCCGAGTAGAGAAAATAGCCCTTGCTTCTGTATAAGAATCACCAAATAAATTGTGTGCTTACCTCTGATCAAGTGACAGCTACAATTTCTGTTTTTTTTGTTTTTTCCCTATTTATATAATAAAACTGTAAGGAATTCTTCAATGACAGAATTAACATCAGAGTATATCTGAACTGGTTTGTGTTGTTGTTTGTGAAATCTTTACTGACATGTTACCGTGGAAACACCATATTTTGGAAATTAATGTAAAGTGCTTTAAGGGCTGATATATAAATAGTATCTGACATGAGTTTCCATTTCATATGAGATTTATGAAATGAGTAGTAGAGTAGGGGTGCCATGGGGCACACTATTAATTGAGATGGTTTTCTGAAGTATCTATGGTCCCCATTTGACAAGGGTTGGGACCAGTAAGTCTTTTTATGGAAATAAAAGCAGAATGTTGGTGCCTTGGGGGGCATTTGGGATGGTTGAGCTAAAATGAAAAATGTGTGGCGAGTTTCATGAATTTCATATGAAATGAAAACGAGTGTAAGATCCTTTTTTTTTTATCACATAATCAAGGTTTGTGGCATTTATTTGTTAAACAACAATTTTCATGCAACATTGATGTGTAAAACACTGCCATTTTCACTCCAGTAGGTGGGTCTGTGACGTCATGTACTTGTACTAGATGTGAGGTCACAATGGAAACAATTGAAACTTACAAACAATCACAGGGCTGATAGGTCATACTACATGGGTTAAGACCCAAAATATATGACATGGGTTTATTCACTGGATAACACCGTACATAGTGTGATAAACATGTGCATCATTAGCTCTGGTCAACCCTGGAATGTGTCATAGAAAAGTCAAAGGCAAGCAGCTAGCTATTTGGTCGCGGGTAAAAAAAAGTCTGACCAAACACTAGGTTGATACTTGTCCTTAGAAGATTACAGAGAAGCCGACTTCTAAGGATCCAACTAGTCTTCTTGTCTCATCCACAAGGTAGTGCACACTGACCTTCAATTTTGTCGTGACATATTCCAGGGGTACAGCGAGCTTAATGAGCATAACCCCTGCAGTAGTATCTAGGATGGTCTTGCATCTTATAACATGATCGCTATTTGTACCACCATACGTGTGAGGGTATGTACATGTGCTTGGAGGATGTACATAAGTTTTCCTCGTTATGGGTCCGGATGCTAATGGCTCCTTTATAATACCACCTGAACAATATATCGCAGAACCCCTGATTTCTAACCAATACAATACTACAATAAGTGTCTTGCTCAATAACACAACCACAAGTAACAGGAACCGAACATTTTCCTCCAAACAAATTGTGATTGATGCCGAAAGCCAAACAAAGGAAGCATTTTACCGAAACTTATCATTTAGATGAACGCAACACATACGGGTGATTACACCTTTAAACTTTTGAAATCGATAGTTTGCCAAAATGAATTACACTGCATCATACAGCTGTTTCGTCATTTTAGGACTCATCGGTGATGCTTAGAGTCGAACGACGAAAAAAAAATAGGAGGGGTGGTACGTAAAAAACATTTCTTTATGGATTTCCAAATTTGGAGGAGTAACGGTTACTTCAAAATGATCAGTGAAGTGTGTATATTATGGACCGTGTCGCTACACAAAAGAGATCATTGTGGCTAATCGATGGTACTGAAGATCATAGCAATGAAAATCGAAAGTGTTCCGAAATCTATGTACGTGAAAGAGGAAGTGTGCCCTTATAACCCTTTTTAACGTTACAAAGTAACAAGTTTTTGACTACAGATATTTCATTTTAAGTGAGTTTTTCTTGAAAACAGTGCCAGAAGAAATTGCAACTTCAAGCTGACGGCCAAATGTGTATTTTTTCCACGTTGGAAAAAATGGACAAGAACATTACAAGGACGACCTAATGGACAAAGAAAAATTGTCTACAGCTTTCCAAACAAAACATGTTCGACAATGTGATGGAGGACTTTCACAGAATTCAAACAAATCCATAATATCCATGGTAAAACGGTAGAGAGCAGTCGATATCCGCGCCTGACATTTATATTGATATCGCTCCTGGATGTACAAGCTGTGGAAATGGCAAAACTTGTGATAAAAGGGAAAACTGCTATCTTTATCACTCACAGTCTTCGAGAAAAACGTCATCGCGTACACACCTCGGGGAAAGTCAGTCGTCTTCTCGCAAAGAAACTGTGAAAGGCTCAAAAAGTTTTTATAAACGAGGAAAAAACCATGAAAGACAAAATTAAAACAAAAAATAAAAAAACAATGCCCTTCAGAACTGACTGATTTACCGTACATTGATCTTCAGAACTGACTGATTTACCGTACATTGACCTTCAGAACTGACTGATTTACCGTACATTGTCTGTGAATATTTATTTACAGGCTGTACTTCCCATGTCATTTCATTATTGAAAATTCATTTTCACAGGCCATAAACGGCTAAGAACTGTTGATTTGAAGAGATGTTTATTTTTTCAAGGTCAAGTTGATTCATCCGTATCTGTAACAGAAGACGTTGGACACCAGTGTAAAGAACAAGTTCCCCCTGCTCTGCTCTCAAGGAGACGTGATTTTGCAAGCTAAGAATGTTATCCGCTACAAGCCTACATAGCCTTCATTCAAACTCTGTTCAGGTACGGCCGGGACCCCCACACATTGGTGTTGTCATAGATGATATAGATGAAGCTTACCAAGAAAGCGTCACGTTGACAGTAAGTTGGTTTAAAATAATATCAAACCCTGTTTAACGAATCATATAAGAGAGTTTCGACAAGCTCAACAGATTTCCCTCTTCAGACGTTGGTTGCTTTGTCGAGTAGAACAGTATTATAAGTGGAAGACGTTCGACTGAGTAAAAGCAACAGTTGGAATTTTCAAGTTTTTAATGTCATTTCCATTGGGTTTTATGCGCTTCTATTCCAGCTCGTGTGAATACTTTGGAAATTTTACATCAGTGTATTTGCGGAAACAACGAGGAACCGTCGGTATTTTCCGTGAACGAGTATTTTCTCGTTTACGGCAAGTGCCGACGGTTTCCGATTGTCTGCGGAAGACCAATTTCCTTCAAATCTTTATTTTATCGATACAGATTGCTTGTCAACATGAAAATATATACATGATACCATTATAAAGTACATTGATAATAAGACCAGGTGTTCCGAAATGGTAAGCGTCTTCTGCTTTCTAGAAGACACCATGTAAGTCCAAAATTAATAATGTCACGTTCTCAAAGTTGGGATCGAGTCAATGACAACGAAACCACAGGCTACAATAAAAACCGTCGATATTCATACCGCGTAAGATATAATTTTCTCCGTTTGGCCAAGTTTGCCTATAATCATGACACAATATTATTTTTATTGGTTTACATCAGCATGTACACATATATGTTCTGTCTGACAGTTTTCACCTCTACAAGGAGATTCGAACCTGTTGATACTTTCCTTTCCATATCTTGTCATGGTACGACTCGACAGCAAATTCTTACATTTGAACAGGTTGACAGCGCAGGTTTGGTAAGTGAGGAAATAATGAACGCGAAACAGGTGTGAACAAAGCAAGAAAGTGTCCCTATTTCGTGTGACGGAGCCACTGGTTAGTCCTTTGCTGTCTTTATTATGAAACATTGCACTGTTCACTATTTACAGTTTATACATGTCCAATATATATATAATAGTACACGTATTTACACAGCATACGTTCAGTAGTTTCTTTCTCCCGGAGTTACGTCCTCTCTCGTGCACCACACAACACTAAACTCCTCTATCACACCACACAACCTGTCCTATCTCCACTGTAACACACACCACCCTTTGTTCTCACGACACCGGCCATTCGCAATCAACATTTTTCCCTAACGGTCCGAGCTTTTATTGACAACTTCATAAGGTCTCCAGAACCAAGTAATATGTCTCTAAAACTACAGACTAACCGCAGACACTAACTGGTACCTATAGATACGGCTGACACAACTCATTAATTAGAACCACTGACCACTCTGACCGCTACTGGCCCACTCGACTCTCCTCCTATACTCTCAAAGATAACACTTTTTCACATTCTCAATTAACAATAAAACAGATTATGATGAAGTTTATTTTGCATACTCATAATTAACAAATGTGTGCATTTATCTGTTCGCGAAGTGTGAACCACACTAGAACTACTAAAGTGACCTGTCACTACAATCACTTATACTGTTTGGTGAATTTCAGTGATACAATCGTTTCATGTTAGAATTACCGCAAAACGTCAAACGCAATTTACTGTATGTTATTTGAAGTCGCCAACGTGTAACTTGGTACATTCACTCTTTGTTGCAGGAAGGAGTGTCATGACTATTTTAAAACCACACGGATATTCTGTAAATTCGTTCACCCAGACAACCCAGTGCATTTCAACTTTCCGATTTGACGTGAATATATAATGAGTTACGCCGACGCAAATCTGCTTCAAGAACCCTGCATGAATAAATGAGAAATTAAACGTCATGACCAATTTAATAAATTTAATATTAAACTAACCGTAAGAAGGAAGCGGCACCCTCTCTTTATTGGTGTCGTAATTACTTCCACACTATATAAAAACATAAACGTCACATGATACTGTTTTACAACAACTTACACCTGGTTTAACACTGTTACACAAAGGCTCCGTTTTTCGAAAAGAACGCCTCCTGTGTATCAAATAAATAAGTTTTCAATATTTTAGAAAAAGAACCACAATGGTTTGAATCCAAGGATATATAGACACGTGGTAGATCTGCGTTTTAAGGAAGGACGATTTATGTCCTCCTCTGAAACGATAAACAGTTTCTTACAGGCGGATGTCCGAGTTACTTGTATTTATATATATTTCAGGTAGGACAGTGTCGCCCCTAGATCTCCTCAAGTCAATAAACCCATCAAATAACATTTTTTGAATTGAACGGGTTTGGTCATGACAAACCATGTATGGACTTGAATGAACTTGTGTTTTTTTATGAATCATGGTTGGGTACCCCATTAGTTCGTCTTGGTTTCCTCTGGTGAACCCATTTATCGGATCGCGTATCTTCATAGGTAGGCCAAAAATATTTTTGTGTATAACATTTATGTCACTTAAAATGTGTGTCACGCATGTGACCTTATATACATAACTTCATGCTCGTAATCAGTGA